AATTTAAGCAGTGGGGTTACACATGGCTGCCCAATCTCGCTATTTCTCTTCAATTTTGTCACCGATGGTGTTCTGAAAACAGCTATGATGAACGTAGGTAATGGTAGTGTGTATCTAATACCTGGAGAAAGATTTCTCGATCTTGAGCATATGGATTATATCGTCTTATTTTGCGACGATACCCAATCCGCACTCAATCAATTGGTAATTAGTGTTCGCAAGAATGGCATGTGCTTTCCACCTTCGAAGTCCAAAGTACTTTTACAAGACGGGTAGGACCCTGAACCTGCCCTCGTCTAGTTAGCCTGGCCGTGTGCTTGTGAAACCATGCCTGTCCGAGTTGAGGAGGTTAGATGACTCTGTTTGATCATCATTGTCTCTGAAGTATTGCTGACAGACAGTGGCAACACTCTGTTAACGATCCAGAGGTTCGACAACGAATGTTTAGGCAAAGTGATAAGTCAATTAGTGTCACCATCTTCAAACACCAACTTTAATGGCTTGGACATGTACTATGAAGGTTGTCACAGCGAATTCAACATCGTGCATTATTTACCAATGCTGGGACTGGTTGGGAAACGTAGAGGTGGTCAGTGTATGAAATGGTGTGATAGTATGAAAGAAAGCTGTACAGGACTGGGATCTGTTGGACCCTCACAACTTAGTTGGGTCCCTAGATATAGTGCAGTATAGTGGTTTGGGACGCAATGATCATGCATGATTCAAAAGAGAAGTCAGGGGCGATCCTTCCGCAACTTTCTTTATAAAAGCGAGAGTAATTTCTATAACTGAGAGAATCCCTTCTGACTGTATTTCGTTAACTAAACTGCTTCCCCCATTATCATTATTATTTCACTGTCACACTAATTTCTGTTCATTGATATTGTGTGGCCCATATGCATTTAGTCCCCGTTGTACACATGTTTGTGTTCAAATAAATAGATAAATAAGTCTTGAAATTAATACAAGCTTCAAAAATATCGAGAAATGAATACATTTTTCGTATAGTATTTGCCATTCATGCCCAAACTTCTTTGAGAAAATAATAATAAAAATGCATGCACAAGTTCAGTGTTATTTTGTTTTATTTAGATAAAAAGCTTTATACAGAAAGAGATCAAGAAAATGCATGAATACATGGAAGAGGAAATCGTAGGATAAAAACAATGAGTAGCGGAGGCTACCAATCGAATAGAAATACAACATATATTAAGGTAATCTTAAAAGTACATTTTATTGACCTGTGACTTGGGAGACTCTATTTAAAATGATATTCCTACAGCTTCTATTCGCACGCAGCTTTTTTGAACTTAATGACTCATGTTAGCTTTTCCTATTCAGTCCCAGTCAGTACATAAACCTTTATAGACAGCATCTGAGATAATATACGTATGACCAAGGTCGAGAAGACTTCACTTTAATTTTTAAAGTACTTTCATATGACTGTGTTTATAATCCCCTTCAGAGGAATTTTTATTCACTAGGACAGTGGTCTTTCGACATACATTAGGTGACCGTCCGATATTTAGGCTAATTTATTGAACCCAGAAATTACACATAAGAGTTAAAAATAGCTTAATTTTAAACCACTGTTGTAGATATTTCAGGATCTCAAAACGAACGTATTAAACCACCTTCATTTATTTATTTTAACACAAATATTGGTACAAAGGAGCACAGAATTCATATGCATCACACAAGTCACTTGATTTGTGTGTGGGCTGTGATACTGCCCGGGCGCCCAGACCGAAGCAGGTGGTTTTCTTAAGGAGCCACACCCAGAGCCTTCGACCCAAAGGTCTGATCCACAAGGCACTGGAGCAACGTCGGGAGATGCAGTCCCACGGAAGCCGGTGACAAACGATCCTGGAGCCCGTGTGCATCATTGGTTTGAAACCAGAGTTTTCCAACCCTCCTAGGTGGAATCTCCATATCCACCAACCCGGTTAAAGCACCGGACCTTCGCTTCCCGTCCTTTCAATTTCGCAAACACCCCCGCCGCAAGAAGGCAGTGAGGACTTCCCTGGTAGTGGCTGTATACGCGTGGCCATGTGAGAGTATTTCGAGAGAAAGAGCTAACTATCTCCACCCTCGGTCGTACCAGGGCATTTGGGGGCATTAAACTACCTTGACCACCATAAATTGTGGAGATACATTTAAAATTGCTTTGATGCCTTGTAGGTTACACTTAAGTATCCATGTGGTATAATACAATGCAAAATGAAAAATAAAAATAATAGGACTAGTACAAACTAAATATACCTCAAATAACTTTATTTACATGTAGTATAAATCAAAACCAGAGATTAAACTCTACAAAATGGATCCTTCATCTAAATAGATGTACCCTTTTTATAAACTAAATTCCAAAGGAACCCTCTACACGTAGTCAAGACAAGTGGACAACAACCACCTAAGTCTGTACGACAAGCTAATCTGGCTGAATGATCACATGGATGTACATTATCTTTCTTCCATGATTAAAATAATGAAGATGAAATATTACAAATTTCAAACAACTGAGAGTTAATGATTAGAGTACAATCTGGGACGAACGCCCAATTTGGTTTTAGTATATAGCGTATTACAACAAGCTGAGCAAAAATTACCAAGATGAAAAGTAGAAAAATATATCAATCACAATGGAGGTTTAAACGGGGAATAACTACTTAGTTGATGATTTCAAAATCAAATGAAAACTTAATCATATCCTCAAGGGTAAATCGCTTATTTATTATAAATTGTTCGTACGTATGGTCAATGTATTAAATATACAAAAAAAGTGTTGTACCACTGACTAAATGATAAGAAGACCATGACTAGGCTTGTCGCCAAATGACCCCATCATAACCAGATACCTTCAGGAGAAAATTCTTTTCATTATTACTTAGTCACCGCTATAATTCTATCCCCGTATATTCACACTTTGTAGACACTCGTCATTAAGAATCAGCACTCTATTTGTGTGCAAGAGTACTCACCAGTTTTTTTATTGTTGTTTAGAATAGAGAAAACACTAAAATGTAGCACTTCATATTTGAGTATAATTCTTGTGGTTTTGGGAGTACATAAATCATTTTAAAACGTTTTTTTCGGACGGAAGGTACTAATTTAGTATAGAATACCAGTTGGGAAGTTGGATTTTGTAAATTTAGGTACGAAGATAAAAACAATTATTGCTCATCATAATGAACTAACAAAAGTATATGACACATGAGTATAAAAAATCCATTCAGTTTGAAATTGTTCCTTTCATCATTTCAAATGCAGCAACCATTTTTTCACGAGTTTCATTGAGAAGTTGATCAACTTGTGATTTATTCATCCCCTTAGTGTCAATTTTCGGTAGGACCTTCACTTTGTAAGTGGCTGAGTTATAAAAACAAACATGAACGATGTTATTGTCGTCCTAAAATTTATATATTCTAACTTTTTAGTTTCTTGAACAGGAAAATAATTGAATGTAGTTTGATGCAAAACTATTTACAAATGCACAACCACTTGTTTACTACTACTGCAAGCCCTGAACAAAAAACCAGATGATGAAATAAGTACTGTATAGGTAATGTTAATATGTGATCTATAGTCCGTTTTGAGCTTCCCAAGTTATGAGCACTTAACTCATCTTATTACACATACTTTCAAGGTACATAAACAAAGGTCGAGTGGAACTGGTTAATTCATAATTACTCTCACTACTTAGTGCCAACGGTACAACCTGGACAATGAAGAACCTGAATTTCAAGATTGGCACCTACAGATAGTGTATGTAATTAGGTACAATTATTGTCCAGATAGTTGATAAAATGGATAAGGCAGAAGACTCAATAGTTGGAAATACATATTACCCAGCCAACCTGAGCTTTAGTAAGAGTACGTTTAGTTGCGTAATAAAGACTAATGTAAATCAACTATCAAGTTGATATCTTCAACCTACATTCATGTATAACAGAAAACTTTTGATGTAATAAAGCACTGAAAAATGCTGCACTCAAGGTTGAACAAAATCTCGAAAAAATAGGAGGGAAATTGTAGAATTAATAAATGAATGAACAAGAAGTGTTGAAATGCAGGTGAACTGAAAATACAGTGAAGACATATATCAATGAACAAGGTCCATTCTGCTTTTATGAGTACGACAGTCAGCAGTATTGTCGATGGTTACTATAAGGTATGTTTGATAATGCTTTAAGTTGGCGGGGGGGGTTGCATGATCTCGAGAACTCACTCGAGATTATAGTAGGTCCCGGTCTTACACACTTATTTTCCAGCATACGGAGTCACAAACTAACTGGTTCGTCATCCTAAGCAGCTAGTGTCCGCAAACAACGTGCGGATTGCAAAATATGGAGTCTATGATTAACCCAACGGTCATATAGCAAACGTTGTGAGAAACACTACCAAAACAATGCTATTTAGTAATATAAGAACATGTTAGGCTGAAAAATAACGTTTTTCAGCATAAGTATCAACAATTCTTCCCTAACTTTCACCGAGATCACCGGTCATAAAGTGAATCCACATTTAAATTATTTTTCTAGGTGTGTTCGTTATGTCTACAAACTACATACTTGTTGTGCTACGCATACATATACGAAACGACTGCTAGTATCTTAATAGATGCAGCGAACTGAAAATATGGTCAAACGGGTGGGAACAAATACTTAAATTACTGAATTACTCAAACAGTCAATTAGCTAGACTAGTTTATTGACGATCCAATTAGATTAAGGATAACAGGTTTTGGTGCGAAACTCATTCATCTATTTGGCTAAATAGCGAACGCATTTTAGCCGACGTCAGTTCATGATGAAAACCCGAAATCGAACTCCTAACTATAGCCATTAGCTATAAACTAATCATTGTTCCTGACACTAGTTTATAACTCTCATTTAGCCCTAGTAAACTGCTGGGCATTCACAAAGTCACTTTAGAGTTGCTCAAAGGTCGACCATGAATCACAGCCTCACTCGTCAATTTATTCCTGAAAATAAACTCACCACTTTTAAAAAGTTTCTTTTTGTGGTCAAGGAACTTTGCATACGGTTCAATAACAATAGGTTGGATCGGAAACTTAAACTTAGTGAGTAATATCAGGTATTACTTGACACTCGATGGCCATGTGAAATGCTCCCTTTTTAAAAGGCAAAAGATAACCGGCATCGGATCTTGTGCCCTCAGGAAAAATGAAAACCGAGACCTAGTGAAACAGTCAAAATGAAAAGAATTTACCTTATCCTGCTTGGCTTCTATGGCAGCTTTCTCCATGGCAGAAATAGCATCAGTATGATGGGATCGATCAATGGAAATAGTCTTGCTCAGCCACATAACTATTCCCAAAAATCCCATGAATCTAAGTGAAGCTTTGGAAACTACCGAGCAGCGTTTTGGCCATATGTCGCCCACACCTAAATTGTCACAGGAAGTAAGAATCTGTATGGATGTGTACCTGTGACATCTATGCAACTTTGATGATTCAAGACGTAAATACATGGTTCCCCGGACAGAAGATGGTCGTCCTCGACAACAGGATTTAAACCAACCACCCTTCCAGAAAATGCTAGATATTTTACAAACATCCTTGAAACGTTATGAGCGAAAAGTTATTACCAAGCATTTTCATATCTTCGGCCTTTGAAAGCCAATCGGATAGAATAAATAAATGACCCAATAAAGATCAATAAGAAGAAAACAGAAAATTTGACATAGTACTGTACTTTTGGAACCCGGTACAGTATGGGAATAGTGGCAAATAAAATAAACGCGTAATCTAACATACTCAACGGTCAATCTGCGCACGCTAAACAGCCAAACCCTAAAGTTGAGACTTTAGAACAAAAAAACAACCAGTTGTTCAACTTCATATATCCAAAGTTACTCGTGCAAGCAAGGCGCCCTTTCACTACAGAGCTTGTTTCTCATGGTTTGAATTGATACATATAATTCATTTAGAACAAATATCTTACTTTATTTGAGAAAGTTCAAATAAGTTAGTTTGTTAACAGTTCGTGTCATCATTGAAATTTTACATCATTCCACTCACTTAATAAAAATCCGGTGCTAACCAGAGACCTTTATTCAGGTTGACTTCCTCTAATCCACTTCATTATCCTGATGTCTTAATGATTATCGTTCGCTAAATACGTGTGTTCGCATACACAACTCGTCCTGACTTTGTTGGATGTCATTTTCTAACTATGTATTGACACTGACACTATACACATTTTGTTTCATTTTATAAAGCATATTGACTGTCAATTACACGTTAACACTTTGGATCTGTGTCCGGCGTGCGCTGCAAAGAACTCTAAAATTCGGTTTATATAAGTCGAAAGTCCAGGTAACCAAATATACACGCATAGTGAGCGCAATCCACATGGAATTTTTATCTGAATTTGATGGCCTCGTCGACCAAAAAACAGAGGATGCACCGTGTGACAAACTAAAGGCTGCAGTCATACGACGTACTTCAGCCTCAAACGAGAGACTCCTACCTCTATTGGAGACGTGACGTTGGTGACAGAAAGCAATCTTATTTTTCACGGTACTTGAAACGGTTGGTCGTAATCTAAAAACTAGGCTGCCTAGCTTTTTAGAAAGATGTGGTTAACCAGGCTACCGTACAATGTAAAAGTATTTTGCGATTCTCATAGAGTATGTGAAGTACAAGTAGCAGTTGTAACGATCGGTGGAGATATGGCAAAAGATCCTAGATCCAACTCGTCAATTTACACATCTAAAAGCGACTATATTTGCTATGTCTGTACGAACAACAAATAAATGGTAACCTCTAGGGTTTAGTTATAGACAATTATTACATATGTTCTTATTGGATAATTATTAGGTAGCTTTATTACATATATATTCATATTCCTTTTCTCGTAAGCTTTGCTTAGACCTATTGACTACTATTAAACGATTTAGTATTCTTACGTTATTCTAAATTTATCAGTTACAGCCCCAGTGAGTTGATCTTGTACAACTATTACTTTTCGTTTAATGTAGCAGTCTGGTCTGCCTATATTTAAACTGAGTATGTCCGAAATAAACGATTCACACGGCAGAAGCTGATGCTTATGTTCCTGACTGAAAAGGCTAGGCTTGTAGAATTATGGTCCACTATGATATTAGCACTGCTCTTATAATAGACCTAATCCTAAATTTGTAGATTTGTCATGATATAACTGCCTAATCTATAAGATCTTACGTGGAAGTCACACCATCAACTACGCCAACTCACTGCATCGTATCAATTATCAATATATGATGTAGAACAAGGTTAGGCTAGAGAAAGAACAATATATTTAATATGAATAGAAGATATAAAGTAACATTGAGATGGGCCACGCCTGCATGGACGAGCCATGCCATCCGATCAAACCCAGTCCATTCAATTCCTTCTCCGCGCCTTCTCCATTGTTAGGTATTTCCCCGAGTTAAATATTGAATATCTATTTTCTGAGGAGTCTCGTGTTCACAGCTTTGTGGATTGTGTGGCTATTGTCCAATGCCACTACACTACTCTCCCACCAGAATCAACGTGATGTTGGTTCGATACCAAATTGGATGGGATCGTCGCGCGCCGGAGGTTACCAAGGATAATAAGGATCCTCCGGGTATTGATAAGCTGAAAGATAAATCAAAAAGGCGGCAGCATCTGGTCGGGAAATACATGTAATAACTTTAAAATATCTGCCTTCACGCTTAACATGCTTGAAATGAAAATTTGGGTGAAGATTATTTGAGCTATAAAAAATGGGATTACAATAATAATAATAAAACGATGCGTGTTAATAACCGTTAGTTAATTACTTAACGTAAAGGTAGTAAGTATTTTGTGTTTAGAAATATTAAAGTGATGAATATTGTAGAAATGTTAATATTGGTATTAGTTTTGGTTTAAATTATGAAATCAAATAACGATTATGCCGGTAAGTTGTCCATATGAGTTGAATTCCAATTGCATCTGTATTAGTAGGCTAACTGAAGGAACAAAAGTATACCGTGGAGAAGAATTCCAACTAGTGTTCCAGTTAGTTTGATACGGTTTATTTAGTTACGGGGAGACTTTCTCAACCTCATTTTTACTTGACCGTGATAGAATTTAGTAATACTACTAATACACATGAATGGTTGTCAAAATAAAATTTAAATACGTGAGTGATGATTATATGAATTTTGGACAGATAGCTAGGAACAAATCGTTAAACATGAGTGTACTCGTAAGAGACATGCTCTGGACTCAATGTTCTGATCTGCGATAGACTATTTATTTATACTTATACTTGCTGGCTGATTGGGCATACAAGTTAGTTGCAAGTATGCAGTTTATAATAAGGCGGAATACGATTTAATTGAGATATAGTGGTTATAAGTTATTGAAATCAGTCAAGCCTATGTGTCATATTACGAAGTGATGTGGTGCTGCAAGATGTATTTAGCTAAATAAGTTTTTACAAGATAATTAATGGTGAGTGATGCTCATGTGATTATCAGGGAGAACATAAGTTGTAACCAGGGGGAGTACACTCCCAACTCATGTCTATGATAGTGGCTTGAACCTTAGTCAGTGTTGGGGTAAATTCGACATTTATGTTTTTAGTTTGCAGGAGATTTGCTCGACTGCTTATACTGATTATTTGCATGCATGGCTGTGTCGCTAAACCGCCAATTAGCCTGAGAATTATTTGAGATATTTACTGAATGAGCAACTGATAGAGAAACATACTGTAATCATCTGTAGTGAATGAAGATAAAAGAAAAACAACACTAGTGATAATTATAAGTCAACTTGCTGGCCGATTTGGTTAATAGTTTCATTAATTTTATCAATCATATTACGTGATTGTCAAGTCATGACAATGCTTTATGACGATATACTGAAACTATGGAATTTAACTAGTTATAGTGTTGATTGAGGATTAGTCAGTGGAAAAATAGGTATTGTTGCTTTAGGTGATTCGAAATTATCAGAAATTTATAACGTTAAAGAATCCGAGACGTCTAATTTAATTATAAATTTCAATTCAGAAATACTCGTTTAGTGTTAATTCTAGTAGGCTACGGAGTTTTGATTTTAAACGTTTGTTTAGCCAACAGCTACCTAAGGATTTAGTTATTTTACTAGTGCAGTTGATAGTACCTAAATTTTTAATCTTATTATCTAAACTATGTTCGCATTTTAGGCTGCTAATATGATAAACCAATCCATAAACCCAAATACGATTAGCAACAACGACTATGATGGGTTTATTGATAAATGTTGAAGGCGATTCAGATTATTTCTAAATTTAGAAGACATGAAGATATAGTGTTACGTATGTACGGGCCAGGTTAACATACAGGTTGTTGACGTATATGACAATTTAAAAATAATGAACATGACCAAAAAATAATTTCAAAGTTAAGACTGCTTATGAAACTTCAGGCAAGAATATGACGCGTTATAAACATTCCATAAGAAGTTAGTGCACTTAGCCTAGGGTCACTTACAAATATATGGTAAAAGCAACAGGAAAGGATAAACATGTTAGGTACAAAAAAAATCATCAAGTAAAATGGTTGAACTCGCCTGAATTATTTTTGAAAATATATTATTCAGTGGACGACATATATAACGCCATTCGTGAGGAGTAGTAATGATCCAAAAGTATCCAGAATGAAACATGCAGTATGGCAATTAATTCCAGGGTGCTTGATGCTGTTGATGTTTTTGCCACTCGCTCGGATTAGAACAACCGAATGAATCCAGATAACTGTGTGGTCACCATTGAACGAGCCATCTAAAATGACCTTATGATTGCAGAAAACTTATGGCGGAATTTATAGTAGTAGAATTATCGTATGAACTAGGAATTCCAGGATTAATGCAATTGAATTAAGAAGACACAGGCACAACGAATGTACTGTATTTAGAATTCGAAATCGAGCATTCAACAAGTACAAAAGAATCATTAGTTAATTCAAACACCACATCCGCCACAGCTTAAATAGAAGTACAAGTGTTTGTAATCGGTTGTACGTCTTCTTGTTAAGTTCATCCTGAGTCTGTCCGACATTGTATAAGATAAAAACTTTGTAGTATCTAGAAAGTGCTCATTAGTATTGGAATTAACAAACGAAATCGGAACAGACTCATCTGGAATTGTATACAACCAGCATGTCGGTTTTGTAATGAAATCATTAATATCTAGAATTCGAACCATAGATTTTTCAACACTACCCCCCTCCCCCCCACGAAATAATGTTGGATCTTTATACTCCCAAGTTATGAATAATGTGGCTTCATTTAAAACATATATCTCACATTGTTTAGAGTAAACATTAGAACTGTTTTTGTGATAAGAGTAAACAGCAGTTGATATGAAATCATCCGAAATATAATAAAACTCGAGGTCACTTAGTACTCGTGCTTCGCATTGGGCAGGTTTTTCACGAAGATCAAATACATTATGAGGATAGGTAATATATGATATGACATCAGGATTTGATTCTTCTGAAATATTCTCATGAAATTCATCAGGACTGTCATTGCAGAGCGTAGGATCGTTAGAAAAATCAGCATCTATCCAAACCACATCAGGTTTTCGATCATGATTAGGTTCATTTAACATATTTTCCTCAGAATTGCAAGTAATTTCATTAGAAATATGTGAATCATTAGGAAAAGTCATACTTGGTACAATAGCATGAGAATTCTGATAAATCGGTTGATTAGGAAATGTTGTCTCACGAGAATTCTGGATTTCATTTAACTCTGAACTGCCATATGACTCTGCACTGTCTTTTGAAATCGTTGATAAAGATAAATGATCATCATGAATACTCGACTCAGTAGAATCAGAATTACAAGACTTAATATTAATTGCAGTAAGATGAACATTAGCATTACAAACTGACTGAACTTGTCCAATATC